ACAATCCAATATTTTACCCTCATAAAATTCTTACAAAACAGCTCTTATTGACATAGGGAAATACTTATAATACAGTAAGTAAATAAAGTGGGATAGAGAGCCACACGTGCTCTCCACCATGTAAAAATTATATTTTTATCTATCTATCTATATCTATATCTATATCTATATATCTATATATCTATATCTATATCTATATCTATATCTATATCTATATATATAGATATATATTTAGAGATACAGATATATAGAGAGGTACATGTGGAAAAATTTTCTGGAACACCAAAATGTTAACACTAGTTATCTGTAGGTGGTAGAATTACTGGTGACTTTACCATCTTTCTTCTTCCCTACATTTCTCAACATTTTCACCATGAGCATGGATTCCATTCATGCTGAGAAATAAATATCAAGTGTCAGGGCACGGCCTCCAAGATTCCACCCCATGACCCTTGGTCAAAGGCTTCTCTAGAAGGCATCGTGACCATTCCCCTGCTTCCAAGCAGTGCTAACTCCTGGAGTACAGGCACAGGAGACACTCTGGTTATCAAAAAAGACCCAGGCTCACCACTGTGGGAAAGGCTGACTTGATTCCTAACAGCAAACAGGTCCTAATCTACCAGATTTCTCCCCTGCTCCAGCATGCTGGCCTCCAGCACTTTCTCCTGGGCTCTCCGGGGTCAGCAGCCCAGTTGGGCAGGCCTCCAGCTATGGACAGAGGTAGGCCAGCCTGGGGCTCCACTGCCCACTGGAGGGAAGGTGAGGAAGTCTGAGAGGGAGGTACCCAGCACGGCCGAGCCGAGTGCAGAGTCCACTGGCAAAGATCAGAGGAGAAAAATCACCCCACTGGCAGCCTTGAGGAAACTCCTCCATAAATCCCACAGCTTTGTGGGTCCGATTCAAGATATCTGCAGGCTCACTGCTCAGAGACGTCTGTTAGACAAGCCCAGATTCAAATCCTGTCTCTGCTCCTGACAAGATGTTTGTCTGGGCAAATCACTGAACTCCCCTGGCCCTCAGACTTCAGTGTATCTACAGAAATGCCTACTGAATGGGGATAGCAATGCTGTCTGCGAGTGAGAGGCCAGAACACTAAATACGATGAACCATGTAAAAAACAAACAAACAAAAACACGTAGCATTGTGCCTGACTCAGAACCCCTGGGAACTAGAAAATACAACCCAACACACCCCTCCCATGGTCTCAGCACCACACCAGCCCGAGTCACAATAAGAAAGAACCATAGAGTTAGAGTTAAAAGGACGCTCAGAGGCCTCAGATCTAGTCCCATCACCTAACGGGTGAGGTGAGGGTGGGGCTCAGAGAGGTTGAGTATTTTAACCAAGGATGCACAGCTAGGTAGTAACAGAGCAAGGCTCAAACTCAAGGTTTTCTGACTCCCAGAAGCCTACCACCCTTTCACACCACCCCAGCCTCTCTGGCCGGAGACAGCCCTGGCTCAGGGCTCCTTCCCACAGACAGGGCTTTGGTCGGGGAGCCCCCTGTTGGCACCCCAGCCCATAACCAGCACCCTGGAGTCAGAGGGCCGCCAAAGAAATTCAGGGTGAGGGGTGGTGGATGAACGCTGGAGATTCCCTAGAAGTAGGAGCTCTGGGGGAAAAGGGTTTGGATTATCAGGCATGCAGAGGTGCTATGCAAATAAGATACAAAACACAAGTAAATGACCACACGTTATTGATGAATCAACAATTTGAGCTCACTCTTTTTTTTTTTTTTTTTTTAGTAACTCGATCATACTATGTGATGTGAAGCTTTTTTCTCTCTTGGCGTTGTGCCAAATGGAATGAAATAAAATTTGTGGTTGGCTGACCAAACCACACTTTGCTTGGTGAGGGGCCCAGGCTCACTTCTGTCACCAAGCCACCCCATAGATGCCTCCCCAGTGCTCAGGCACTAGTACTCCCCAGTGTCCACGGCATCTGCCTCCGCCTGGCTTGTCAGAGCAGCAAGCCCTGTGCAGGGGGACCTTCGGCTGAGAGACATTCTCCCAGGCCCAGCAGACTGCTGACTCGAACTCATCCTCTTCCTCTCGTAGGGGGACGGGGACGGGGAAGGGATGGGGCATGGTCTGGAGTGGCCCAGCCCATCAACCCAGGCTCCAGGATCCTGGCCTTAGGAGCTAGACCCCAGCCGCCTTTCCTCCCTGAGGGGACTCCTGTCCAGCAGCAGGACCTCCCAGGCAGTGCTGGAGTGTGGCTCTGAAGGAATGGCCTGAGCTATTGGGGCAGCTATGGTCAGATCCCTGAAGGAGAATGCAGGGGAGGTCTAGTTCCCAGCAAGAAGGTTAGAGGTCAGACATCTGGAAGGCCTGATGGAGGCTCAAGCCGGTTAGCTCTGAAAACTCATCCAACTGAATCGACATTTACTGAGTGTCTGCCTTGTGCCAGGCACTGAGCTAGGCGTTCTGGAGAATTTGCAGAAATGGACAACATGCACTGGCTGCTCAGGTCACTGCCTTGAACACACTGACAAGCCACCAAGGAGGAAGAGACATGTATAAATATAACATAGCAGTATTTTGAAACCTCCCTGGAAATGCGGTATGCGTGTGCGTGTGCGTGTGTGTGCGTGTGCATGCAAATGTTGGTGGGAGGGCATGTGCGTGGCTGCAGGAGAGCGCAAGTGTGCATGGGGTGCGGCGCCCGGGCTGGCTTGTTCACACCCACTTTGAGCCAGATGTTAATAAGGTTAATAAAGCTACACACATAAACATAGCACTTATGGCTTGCAGGTAACACTAAGTGCATCATATCGTGCTAAGTGTTTATATATAGGAGTTTATTATCTTCTTCCCATCATTTTAGGAAGAAGGTACTACTATTTTTTAAATGATGTTTATCATTTTATATTTTTAAGGATTTTATTTATTTATTAATGAGCGAGCACAAGCAGGAGAGAGGGAGAAATGGCAAATGCGGGGGCTCGATCCTAGGACCCTGTGATCATGACCTGAGCCAAAGGCAGATGCTTCACCAACTGTGCCACCCAGGTGCCCGAAGAAGGCACTCTTACTAATGTTCCCTTTTGTAGATGAGGAAATTGAAGCTTCACAAGGTGAAAAAGTGGCTTCCCCAAGGGCACACAGCTAGGAACTCATAGCAAGGATTTGAGCCCAGACCTGTATCCTCTGTCTCAGGCACCCCCCTGCCTTGGCCCTCAAAAGGCAACTCCCCAAGACTCCCAGCTCCTGGAGGCTGGAGCAAGGAGCAACCACAGCTGCGCCCTGGAAGACCGAGCCTGCAGTCCTGCCGCCTCAGCCACCCCCACTCCCACAGGGCGAGTCGGGCACATTCTGCAGGCCTGTGACCTCTGTCACATCAGGATCAGGCCTTGGGTTCACCTTGGCACCCACTCAGCAAACAGGATTTCTCGAGCAGCCCTCCTACATCTGCATATCTGAGTGAGTTTCCTAATGTGGCAACACTTTGCTAGAATGGCCCGGCTGGGAGGCCCAGGCGGCCCTAATGGGCTGAGACTGGTTTCCTCTGCACAGCCCAGCCGCGGCCTGGGACCGGCCTGGGAAGAATGGCAGCAGGAAGGCACCTCTACAGCCGCGCCCACGGGCGGCTACAAGGCTTCCTTCTCTACCTCCCCCTGTCCCCCGAGCAGCAGTTTCACCCACCTCCCCTGGGAACATGGAGGCTGTGAGGGAGGTACGCAGGGCATGGGGACTGGCATATCATATCGGCGCGGGGCCAGGGAGAGTCAGGAAGGAAGGTGGGCAGTGGAATCTAGGCTGTGCTCCCACCCGGCTTCGGGAGACCCCCTGGGTCTTTCCAAAGTTTCTCCTTTACCAGCTCCTACTCCACCTCCCTTAGAGGCTCGTGAGGAGGATAGGGGAAAAAATGGTGCATGAAGAAAAGCTCTGAAAAGGTAAACGTGCACAAATGTAACACACCCGGGAGAAATGTGGGCGCCTAGGCCTGCCTGGGCAAGTTGCCAAGTGAGGCCAGAGGCCCCATGTCCCAGCTATGGAAGCTACTCTGGGGATGGCAGGTGCCAGAGCTGGCCGGAGCTCCCCAGTAGAAAGGGAATCTGTTGGTGACCAACGGGCCTCCCAAGAGTGTCCCAGCGGGGCTGGCAAGAGACTGGCCATGAGCCCAGGCGTTCACTGGCACTTGGTAGCCCAGGCACTGCCTGGTGACGAGATTGTGGCCTGGCAGGCCCCAGCGTGGACGGGACACCTGCCTGAGGACCGCCACTCTCAGGCCACCCACCCTGGCACTGCCTGGACCCAGCGTCAGCTCTTCAGCAGTGACCGGCAAAGTCACACATAGCTTAGCCACAGAATGGGGGCTTCAAGACCAGGCACCAGCATCTCTCCCCGCTCCTGCCTGCAACCGAGATCCTGTGAGTGGAAGTTGGGCAGAGGTGATCAGACCGCTAGGCTTCCACGGGACAGTCGAGGAGGGTGGAGCTGACTGCCACAGAGCCAGAAAACACGAGAGCTAAAGAGTGTGTTCAGGAAGCCTGCCGGGGTCTCTAGCTGGAGAAGCAGCTCTCCTGTCCCTCGAAGGCCACCATCCTGACACCTTTACCCCACTCTAGCCATCTAGCCATCTGCTTGGACCCTTCCCCATCCCCACAAGGGAGCTTGGTTTATTCCCACCCGGTGCTCACTGTGACCGTCTTGGTGGCTCCCTCCAATCCCCCACCCCAGGCTGGGCAGGCAGCCTGGGCTTCCCTGGCCAGGAGAAGCAGCTCAGGAGAAGCCGAAGCAGCTTCGGCTCTGGGGTCCTAGGCACTCCCAGGTTCCCATTCCTCCCGCTACTCAGCCCCCTCCCCACCCCCAGTTCCACTGAGGCTCAGCCTGGCACGTAGAGGGGACAGGAAGGCAGAGTGAGGGCTGGGGCACAATGGCCCAGGGACTCTCTGGCTTCCATGGGGTCTTCTGCTCTACCTTTTATCCTCTCTCAAGCCACCCAGCCTGGGGTCCAGGGTGGGGCACCGCAGGTCCCTTCAGCGGCTCTGGACTCACCGGAGGGGGATCTTGACGCGGAGGTAGCGGTCCACGGCGATTGCCAACAGGGCCAGGATGGAGCTCTGGGTGAGGATGAGGACAGGGCAGGCGACCATGAGGCAGGTGTGGAAGTAAGTCCGTGGCCCAATGTTGATGAGGATGGCGAGTGGGATGACCAGAGCGCCCACTGCCACATCAGCCACCGCCAGCGAGACGATGAAGCAGAAGGTGGCATCCCGCAGAGCCTGGTTCACCTTCACTGCCCAGATCACCAGCACGTTCCCGGGCACAGAGACCAGGGCGATGAGCACCTCGATGCCAATGTAGGCGGCCTGGAAGGCCGAGATGGAGGGCGGCATGGCAGATGCAGGCCAGGCACATCAGCAGCCAGGCACCAAAGGTCAGGAGGCAGGCACCTGTGGTCACAGAAGCCTGGGGTGGGGAGGCCTGCCTGGGAGCAGCAGGGGGAGCCCCAGCAGCTAAGAAACTCCACTGTCCTCTGGAGTGTTACCCCAATTGGCATATACATAGAGTGCCTGCCCAGGCTGGAGGGAACCCTCCCTGGCCCTTTCTCTGCCTAATCTTTGTCCCCTCCCTTTATCATCCCCAGAGGTTCCATTCAAAAACTTAAAATAGCAGTGCTCACTCCTCCATTAGCTTTTTTTATCAGGTGTGAGGCAGCTCCCTGCCGGCACACACCCCCCACGGGGGTCCCTGTGCCTGGCTCTGCCCACCCAGCCCCCAGAAGAGGCCGCAAGGAGCTCACCATCCCGCCCGCTGGCCACCAGGGGGTCCCGGAGGCGGTGCCCAAAGTTCTGGGCACCTGGCGGCGCGCAATGCTGCGGGGCCGCGCCGGGCAGGGCTGGGCTCCAGGCACCGCGCGGCGGCTCATCGTCCTCGGGCTCCCGCCGCAGCTCTCCCAGCCCGGCCTTTCAAGCAATCACATGGTGTGGCGGAGGCTCAGCCCCGGGCGCTTTTAAAGAGGTAGCACCCCGATGTCGCACCTGGGACGGGGCTGGCAGGCGCGGGGCTGGAGAACCGAGCCCAGCCGCAGATCGCTGCGCAGACGCCCCTTTGCCCGCCGGCGCGCACACGTGCCTGGCGCCACCCACCCCAGCCGCGGCTGGCGCCCACCTCTCAGCAGCGCCCCGGTCCCGCTGCAGGGACCCTCCCAGGCCAGCGACTCTCCCCGGCTCCTGCCCCAAAGGGCGTTCTGGTCGCCCCTCTCGGCCCTCTCCTGCATCCCCATTGGGGAGCCACGGGGGCGAGGCACAGACTTACCCAAGGTCACCAGGGCTGGCAGAGCTCCTAGCCACCTGAACGCCTGTGTCCGAGCGCCCTCACCGCTCGACGCCTTCGGCAGCCGCCTGCTCCGGGGATGCCTGCACGATCCAGGGCCAGCCTGTCAGGTCCAGGGGGATGGTCGCTGGCTGGGACTCCACTCGGGCGCCGGCGCCTCCGTCGCCCCCGGCTCGGGAGCTGAGTGACAACCCGGCTCCGCACACCGGGAGGGGGCGGGGGCGGCGGCAGCACCCGCGGGCCCCTCCCACCTCGCCCTCCGTCTCCTCCCCCACCCCCTCCTCTAAACAAAGGAAGTGATTCTGGGTGAGAAAAGCTGGGAAAATGTGAGCTTTTCGCAGGGTCTGGTGTGTGAATCCAGCCTCAGGAGTGGACAGACGGGAAGCCTCCGTGTGTTCAGTGGCTCGCTTCTCAATGCGAGATTCCCGGAGCCCCGGTCTGGCCGCAGGGAACCCCTGTACCCAGCGGCCTGGCCTCTCACCTGCAGGGTTCCCCCCACCAGGACCCCCCCCCCGCCGTCAGCTAGAAGCAACCCCCGCGCCCCCCCCCCCGCACCCTCACCCCCCCACACACGGTCCTACCCCTCACTGCTGAAACCCTGCTCTCCCATGAAGCCAGCCCCTGCCTATTCATTCTCAGAAACTAACATCCTTCCAGAGCACATTACTTTGTAGGCTCTGTCCTGAGTCATTATATTCCTTTCTCCTCTATCTTTCAGAACTGCTTATTCACATATTAGCAATGTCCATTTTACAAATGAGGGCACTGGGACTGAGAGGAGTGGCCTCTCTTCCTAAAATGATCTCTGCCACTGTCACTCCCTCTTGTGCCCCTTTTCTTTCCTTCTCCTCCTCCCTCTTCGTGGCACAATACCTAAGCCAAAAGGTATCCAGTCCAATCCCCTCATGTTATAGATAAAGAAGCAGACTCGGGGAAGGAGGGGACTTCCGCCAGATCGCACAGCAAAATCCCAAGGGGGTCAGAGTCAGAAACCAGGCTCCCGACTCCTGACTCCTGACACAGTGCTCTCCACACTGTGCCCCATCCTGATCCCTCCCTTGGCTGCCTCCTGGTATAGTTACAGTTTAGGTGGACGACTGGGACCCACCGAGGGCCACCTGGGGGCAGACCCTCACCCAGAACACTGTGTCTTGCCGAGACTCTGACCTAAGAAATCCTTGTTCGTGGATATTGGAAAAGGGCTTGGGAGGATAAAGAGAGTCGGGTTGTCAGGCAAAGAGAATCAGTGCCACCCGGCCAACACCCCGGCCCCTGTGGGCACTGACCCCTTGTTGGGTCTCCGGATCTCCAGAAAAAAGTTCTGCCCAGAGGAGGGTGAGCATAAGGCTTCTGTGGAGGGGGGAGCGGTCTGGCTGAAGCACAGTGGGGATGGGCTGGGACGGGAAGCTGAGCAGCCAGGAGGAGGAGGTAAGGGCAGGTTGAGTCTTCCTGGGGGAAGTGGAAGAAACTGAGCTTGGGGAAAGATCACTTCCATTTCTGCCTTCAGGGGGAGCAAGGAATCTGTGCCTCGGGCAGCCAAATTGCAGTCCTTCCCCAGAGCCCAGCTGGAGAAAGGGGGTAGTGCCCACTTTCTTTTCCCTTCCTTTCCCTCCGATTCCTCTGCAGACTTCCTCAACACTCCCAATGACATCCCGACATTCTGCTTACTCCCTATGCCACGTGAACATGCCAACCTGTGCATCTGTCCCCCTGCCTTGAACCCTTGTCTTGGCCCAAGTTCTTTTGGGATCAAGGCTTTTTTTAAAATTTTCACTCAGCCCCCTGACTTTCACTCATGTAGCTGATAGAAAACCTCTGCCCCCGCCAAGACCCAGGCAGGTCCAGTCTGGGGAGGGGGCGGGGGAGCGGGGAGGGGATTGCATCACCCTATCCAACCTTCCAGCATCTTCTGCTCTGGAGGGCACCTGAGCCCACCCCCTATTCTTCGTACTGTGGGTGGTTGATATGTAGTGGCTATGTTTGTGTAATACCTGTAGATCATTTGTTTTTTCTTCAGTTCTGGGTAAAATGAACCAAAATCCTCTTCCCTTCTTTCCTCTTTCTCTCCCTCCCTCCCTTCCTCCCTCAACCTCTGCCTGTTCCTGGGACCAGGACTCCTGGGGGATTAGACTGGCCTGTTTGAGAACAGAGCTGGCCCAGTCAGGGTCCATCCCAGAGAGTTGTTCTGGAAAAAAAACACGCTATCTCCTCAGAGTCTTCTGGGCAGGAGGGAGTGTGGGAGTGTCTATGGCAAACACAGCACTCCTGGACATCAGAGCCATTTGGTGATGTGAAAAGAGCACTTAATTAAGAGTCAGAAGAGCTGAAAGCTGACTTCTAGGCCTTACTCTGCCACTCACTGGATGGGCGGTCCAGGCAAATCACGTTTCCTCCCTTGGCTTCCGTTTACCCGTTGGCCAGCTTAGACAATGGACATCTTTCATCCTCTCCAGCTCCAAAAGCTGGTTAGTTCATTCTAAGGTGGGAAACGTGGCCAAGATGGAGACCATGGGTGCTGGGCCTTCCACCTAGAAACACTGTGAGTCCTTGCTACTCCATCTGGAGCAGATTCCAGGACTGAGAAGAAGAGAGTTTTGTGGCAGGGGAAGGAGGATGTTGGAGGTCTATAGTGGGAAAACGACACTATCGGAAAGTGTAGGCGCAACACGTAGAACAAGATATCCAGAATTTACATTGAGCCAAAAACTCTCTGGCTTTTGAAGTATGTCCAGGACCCCCAGACGGGACGACCCACCCCATACCAGGGTCTACTAGTACTCTGCAGACACATGACCCTCCATGCTTTCCCCTGACTTAAACAGCTGAGTCTTGGTTTTCTCATCCATAAAATGGGCATATAAATACCACCTCTCCGCAATTGCGAGGGCTTTGTGAGTTGACTTATGGAGAGTGGCTAGCACAGAAATTTTATCCGTAAGGCAAGTAGGCAGCACCAGGCAGGTGGGGTAGTGTAGGCAGTGGAAGGAGTAGGGGAGTGCAAAATTCTAGAAATTGCTCGGTGTAGCTAGTTGTGCTAAATCCCTCAAGGACCAGTTTGGGGGCCCCTAAGGGGACCCAATGAAAAGCTTCTATCTAGCATGCGTCTCTGGGAGTAAGATAATATCACAATGAGTCTAAATGCTCCCAGGGCCTACATTCATCCCCTTTCCCCTTTACCTCTTGATCCTCCTTCTTTCCTTCCACCCTATCCTGGGCTTCTCCAGGCCCCTCACCCCTGCAGTCTCTGTGCTGACGCAGAGGTGTAGAGAGAAGAGGGAGGGCTGAAGTGTAGCGCTCCTGAGGGGCAAACTTCCATGCCCCCCTTCCTAGAATTCTCCAAACTAGACAGGGAAGGGCCTATCCAAGGAGGGAAGCCATTCCCGGGGAGGGGGCAGGGTAGCAAGGATGGGGTGGCAAGGCCAGCAAGGCCCCCAGAGAAGCCTGGAGGACTGGATGTTTTAAGATTTGTCTCTTTTCCCTTTCCAGCAGGCGGGAGGTTATTTTGGTCCCTCTGGTGTTTCTCAACATTGTTCCGGGCGGTATGTGCACAAGGAGAGGGGGGAGGAGGAGGGCACCAGGGCGGGCAGGTTGGAGAGGAAGGATTTCTGGATGGCTGGGAAGCCCCTGGCCTGTCCCCTGGGGAGCCCACCTCCAAGGCCCTGTGGTGACTTCCCCCAAGTTCCCTCCCTCTTCAGATTTGGAATGTAGGTCTCTCTGCCTCCTCATCTCTTCTTCCCTTTCCCAGGTCAGAGGCTCCTGCTGGGGAGATGCTGGGGAAGGAGCTTCATTGCGGCCTGAGAACCCCCGGCGTGCCTGTGTGCTCGTGAGGGCAGGGGATGCATGGGTTGGGTCAGGGCTCATTAGTCCAAGTTCCTCCAGACAGCACAGAACTGTTCCTGAAGGAGGATGTCACTTTCATGTCTTTGTCAGCCTCGTTGTTCCTTTGTTCATTCATTCATTCTTTTACCCTATTCAACAAACATTTATTGCACCCCTCTTTTGTATCAGAAAGTGAGCTAAGCCCTGGGGATAGAGAGAGAAGAAAACTGAAGTCTCCCCCATGATTTCCAGAAAGCTCCAATCAGGTGGGGAACACTGGTTTGAGCGATATCCATCCCTCCTGGGAGGATCAGGATGTCTTTCCAGCCTGGGTCTTTCCTCCCCATGCCCTCCCCCTTCCTTCTGCCCCCAGTCTTGCTGAATTTCAACAGGGATGAAAAAGAGCTTAAAATGCCAGGCCCAGAAGAGTGGCTGGCAGCCCTCTCACCAGTGGCGTGGGGTGGGCGAGTAGCACTGGGAGCTGAGGACCCTTCAGGGCTTGGCAGAGGCCCTCCAAGGCTGGGAAGGAGGGTCAGTTCTTGGAGGCTCGCAAAGCCACCCATACTTCAGCTAGAGGATCTGTGCTCTGACTGATCTTACAGGTGGCTTCCTGGTGTGAGATTTTATTTGAATATAAGATTTAATGGGCTCTGGGGCTTTAAAAAACTTGAAAATCTGAAGTTCAACCCAACTTGTTCGTTGTATAGATAAGGAAACCGAGACCCAGAGGGGCAATAAACTTGGTCAAACCCACCCATGAGATGGGGCAGAGCCTGGTGCCAGAGGGAGACATCCAGAAATGAGCCCTGCCCCAGCCCCCGGCCCCATGGATCGCTCAGGGAACCCCTTGAGCACCAGCCCTTCAAACCCCGGTTGGTGTTCACAGCCTCCCCAGTTCACCGGGGGGAGGAGGTACTGCTAGCACACCAGGCAGAACCAGCATCGAATGGATACATACTTCCATGAGAATAAAGGTGCGCCAGGTACACAGCCACTGTTTATAAAGACATGCATTATGTCCCATATAGAGCATCCCACTTAATGGCAGGTAGCAAAGCCATTGTCAACTGAAGCCAGGTGAGGTTCAACGGAAGCCACCTGGCAGCGCTGGGACTGACCCAGATGTGGTGTGTTTTACTCCTGGAAGGATGAGTGAGGGTTGGGGGGTGACTGGAATCACTGAACCCATTGGTCTGGAAGGGGTTCCTGGAGAAGAGACTCTCCAGCGGCCTCATCCATTCATCAGCTTGCACAACTAGTCTTTATT